TGATTCCGATGGAAATGCAAAAGAAACAGAACCAACAATAGTAGTCTACCTTAAAGCTCGAAGAATTCATGAGGAATTCTTGCTAGCATCTAGAATTGGATGCCCTCAGGAAGACTACTGTAAGTCAATTTTCATGACTGATTTGCTCATTTCCTCTAGCTGCACAATATGACATATTGCTTCTTAATTCAACACTTACTGCTACTTAGTAATAAGAGGACATGTGGGACTTTGTTTCTCGAATTGACACTCAATAGTAGAAGATGTTCATACCTAGAATAGTTGATCACAAACTGCCGTATCATGGCTTTCTAGCTTATATGTTACAGAGCAAGTGAGCAGCCTCTACTCCCCCCCTCTAATTAATCTCTATTTTGTAGCTTTGAATAGCTAAAAAAAGTTGATTCTGGTATATATTCATTGGCGCAAACATTAGAAGTTCTATGATATTTTTTCTTACCACATATATATGAAGGATTGTGCAGACAACTTGCAGCGTTGGAATCAACATCTGGGAACAATGCATGGACATTTAGATATATATTTTTAGCATTCTTCAAGATCTTGACTTAATTTCTTTTTACACTGTTAAATAATAAAAGTAACAAAATGTTGTACAATAGTAGTATCTGTTATGTAGTCAAGTTTACTGAAATCAAAAGAAAACCAAGAAAGGAGAGCCGAAGTTCAAGGCATGTTCAGCTCCATTGATTTCCTCTCTCAATGGAGTGTTAGTCCTCTGAATATTTTTATTCCTCTGATCTCAAACATTGTCTACACAAGAGTCGAAGCTTTGTCTGCCACTGCTCTTCAGTTCACACCGCCGATGTTGTGAGGACTGGCAGCTCTTCAGTTCATGCTGCCAATGTTGTGAGGACTGGCAGGACTTCAATGGGCGCGGAGGCTGCAACCTAGGGCGAGGGCGTCGGTGCGTTGAGATGGTGGGGCCACGTCAGTGGGAGGACGTGAGGCGGCGATGTCCACCCAGATCTATAGCCGCAACAGAAGAACAACTCAGAGAGGACGTGCAGCTCCTGTGTGTAGTAGATAAATCGCCGCCCAGATAAATCACCGGGACACTACCAAGTGTGTCGTCAGTAGGATAAAAAATCTTGAGCGTGCCTCAGGTGCGACTCTAGCTATTGAAAATCAAAGAACCTGAATACTTCCGGAGTTTGATAAGGCTTTACGGTGAGTTCTCATAGTGGTCTATGTGCATGATGGGATGCTGGTACTGCTGTTCTACTTTTACTGCTGTTGTTATTAAGCAGATTTTGTCAAAGCAATTGCTATGTGTATTAATTTGGATAGGATCAGTTAAAGTACATCTCATTAAACGGCGTTTTTTGTCGTGTGTTTTAACTTTTTATTATTAGTAGCAGTGGTTTCTATAGCTAGCCCAATGATGATCCCCACTTTAACCGACATGATGTCAAAGCTCAAGGCTATCAGTGACCATCCATATAGCTCATCAAGTCATCTTCAGATCACTAGCCCTAATGGTGTCAAGCTCAAGGATATCTAGGAGCACTCGAACCTCCTGCATGACGAAGTCACTCGATGAGGATGTGCTTACCCAGGAGAATGAACCTATTGATGCTCCCCTTGCAGCCGGAAGTATCTTGAAAGCTGGTAAAGTGGTGTGGTACTGTTTCCTCTCTTTTACCTTGATGCAAATACATCTGTGATGGTGTCCCAGCAATGCAAGTCGTCATTTAATTCACTAGCTATATAAAATGCTCAGCAAAAGATAGTTCCTATAATATTTTGTGACCAAGGAAACGTGGTGACCTTTTGGCACTTTTCATGTAGCGAAAACCTCATACATGAGCATATCCGCGATGCAAGGAGCTTTTGTGATGACTCGAAGGAGGTAGCAGGGGGAGGAAAAGAAGGGATAGGTTCCATTACGATCTTCTGTTGACACAATGGTCGTCGGTGGCGACTGGCGAGAACATGAGGACCATGGCGAGTGGCTTTGTACCAGGACTGTTTCATGCATTTGATTTTGAGGTTGGATATTGATCCCTTTTCCTAGGATTCAGGATTGTCAAGTGCCTAATTGATGCTTTAATTAATTCGTTGCCTTCAGTTCGTGTAGCATACTGATAACATAATTTGGCTCATTTCGTGAATGATGTGAACTTACAGAGTAGCCATAGTACCAAATCATGTGTAGCAGGGTGTAGGGAGTCTGTAGGTTTTTTTTATATGCTAATCACTGATTGCTACCATTAGCAAGAATTTCCTTCACCACCAAAAGCACGACACGTGATAACCATTGCGCTTTCTTTCTAGAGCTGGTTTTGGGTGTACCACTATACTATACCCTACAGAGATGTCTCGTAAATAGAACAGTTCTGTCATGATGAGCTGTATATTTGATGGACTTGGAGCTGTCTAATTTGGACTTGAAATTACAGTGTAAAATTTCCACATTGTATATTTTCTTTTGAGGAAGCAAGATTGCTTCCTTGTTGTCTTTCTGCTCTAGGCACAAGAATAGTGCAAGGTTGCATGTGTGGAATTAATGAAGGCAATAATCCTACACGGAGGTGCCCCTTAAACATCGTGTTGTAAACAAAATCGCATCAGTTTTTACAAGATACAAAAAACTATCAGTAGTGCGCACTTATTAGCTAGAAAATCCATATAACTTGAGAAGCTCCAAAGTTTTACTAGGTCGCCTGCAATCTAACAGTTTGTTGAGTATAATGACTATGCATGTTCATTTATGTCTTGTGAGACTACATTTTTGGTTGTTGGCTGGAGCTATCACTATGGCTGTTTTACTTTTCAATCAAATAAATTTGTATGGCCACCAAAAACTAATGACAGGTCAACAATTATCATTAGCAGCCCAGTTTAATGATCTTTTCTGATTAAAATTTCAATGGAAAGCTCATGACAGTTTGCACCCCCTTATCTGCATTTTACTTAACCTATTGCAACTATACTCTGACACTTACTAGCTATTTTTTCAGGTTACAATTAACAGACATGTATTGACCTATTGCGGCTATAGAGTATGCCTAAGCCAATGGCCAGACATCGGCTGTTCGGATCCACCCTTAAGCCGAGGCACAAGTCCATTGCGGTTGATTATTGTTTGGGGATTCAGTTTCATGGTGAGATATGATTTTCTGGATCTTGTTGTCGCTGAACTGTGATTTGTTGGTTTGGGAACTAAAGTTGGTTGCTTGCAGCAAGGGGATTCATATTGGTTGAAACCTTGAAGTTGAACATGAAGGGCACACATTTGATTTCCATTGGGTGTTGCCCTTGTTTAGCACATTAGTAGATGGTCTCTTACTGGATTATGGCAGTAGTAGTGTGGTATTGTTGTGAATTTTGTTTTCTTCTTTTACTAGACCAATTGTTTCAAAGAATTTTGAGATGCTACAATACTGATAGACATGTGGCTATCCCTTCATTTTATCAAGGATGACTATTGTTGATGAAAGGACATTTACATATTTATAGGTTGCAACCAGATCAATGACCGGTTAATCTAACACCCGGTTTTAAAGAGAGAACAAAGTAGGAAGGGTGTGTGATGGCGCTGGGGCCATGTGTTGGATATAACATGTTGGATAGTCTGGACAACCAAATTTCTCCCCTATATATGTGCTGGATTTGGGGGAGCTCTAACTGTTCAAACAGTTGGAATTTTCAAGAGCCCACTGAGAGCCTATTTGATGTCCGAACATGCCCGGGCGTACGAGGGAGAAATGAGCGCCGACCTTGGGGACAATCTTAATCATTTGTTTGATTCATGTATATGCATTGTAGCCCGTAGCAACGCACGGGCATTCTACTAGGTGAGTTGAGGCAGACAGCAAGGGCCGAGGTTGACAAATAAAATGCCATTGTGATGGTAAGCAAAATATCAGGTTCTAATTAGTGGAGGACTACAAAAGTTAAAGAGGTCTTGATGAGATGATTGACATGACATGAATAGTTAATTTGACATGTATCATGGGCACTTCTTCATTATTCAGTTGTCTCGCTTGAATTTGTGGACCAACTGGTGGACATAGTTCAGTTTTCACAGGTAGCAAAAGCTGCAAAACTGGGTGTGCTAGATTTTGTTCAAAGTGCAACTTTTATTTGATAAAGCCGATCAGGTTTACATGTGTAGATCAATGCAGTACCAACTGTAAAAGAGTTACAACGCAAGGGGAAGAGTCTCCTTTTTTGTATTACACTGGGATTGAACCTGCATGTTGCTGGGGCAACCCTCTTTTATTTTGGTCTTTAACTCTATTTTCTGGTGTATCTTTGTTTATCGAAAATAGTTGTCTGCCCTGCCCTCGACAATTCGCAGTGTGTGCACGGCATCTTATATACACTATGGCTGGCTAATTTAGATGATTACCACCTACGACCACTATCTTGCTTATTTTTCTTGTGATGGCAGCCATAAGTAGAGGGTTCAGCAAGGCATTGAGAGAGACAAGTGGCAACTTCTCTAAAAAA